TAATGAATTAATAAATCATACTATTAAGGCTACTTAGAAGACCTCTAAGATAGACCTCTGATTAGAAAGGGCCTTGCGAGTATAAATATGCATATTCGGTGGCCTTGGATAAAAACGTACGTACGGGATCCATAAACCAAACTAGAGGAACTCGTTTGGGGATACCACCCAACCTGACAGTTAGTAATCTACTGTTCGGTTTTCTGGATTTGTACCTTAAGCGAAGGCTAGTTTAAGAGTTGGTAAATAAATTGGAATATGTACCTTAAACTAATGACCTAGCTTAAGAGTTGGTTAGAAGTACCTTGAACTAGTAATAGTTTAAGAGTTGGTAATCATCAAAGGTTTGGCCTTAGACTAAGCTTAGTTAAGGATATTGTTGAGTATTGAATGTTGAATATTAAAAAAATTGAAAATATCATGAATGAAGTATATTGTGGGCATGATATCAAATAGTTGTTTGTGAATTGAGATTCAATTTATGTGGATGTTCGACGCTTTAGATATGCTTACTCAGCTTCATCGCTGAGTGTGTAGTATGTTTTATTTGCTACACGCAGGTAGACTGAATGAATGATTGGCTTGTTCCTGGCAGCAGAAGGGGCGAGATTGTCGTGGTGGAATTTGTGATTTTAAAATAAATAATTGTGTTATTATTAAACATAATTTAAATTGCTTCTGCATTATTGTTAAACACTCTGCATTTTGCTACAATTATGTATTAAATAATTTTTATGATGAATAAAAGTATTTGAAATGTTTAAAATTTTATGATTACCAAGTTAATACTTTAGTCTGAAAGGGGCTGCAGACCTGGACGGATTAGGGTGTTACATATTAATCCATAGGTTGAAATCATTCCAAAATATATATGTGAAGCATATATATGTCATCTATGTGTTAAGACCAAAATACACCAAATTCATAAAGTTAATATATATACATAAGTATATATAAACATTTGAAATCAACCCAACAACATGTATATGTTAATCAAAGGTGTTTAAAAGACTTAAAGAAGTATTTTGAACACTCAAAATATCAAGAGAAAGATTCACAGACCCAAACGGTCGACGCAAACGGTCGACCATCGTATTAAACTTCGAAACGGACCACGACTGTCAGCAGAACGGTCGACCGCCGCCAACCAGCTGTAGTCCGCCATCCGCAGCCAGTCAACAACGGTCGACCGCCGGTCAACCGTCACGGTGATCCGCCATTCCGACGAAGTGAAGATCAAGGTCGACCGCCGTGCGAAACGGTCGACCGTTCCGAGCCCCGTAGCTTAATTAAATGATATTTTTATCATATTTCACCCAAATAAAATAAAGTATATTTATCCATTCATATTATTTACAAATTGTTCATAGCATATGACTCATATAATCACACATATTGTAGCATATCATATCATATGCATGCGTAAGAGATCATGCGTAATTGCGTCTCTTATAGATGTGATTGTGCGGGACTTAGCCGTCCGACATCACTGACCGGGCTTAGTGTACGTACATGGTATTCAGGCTTTCGAGTACCACCCCTATTTTTCTAGTCTCCCTTATGAGACTAAGGCTGCTGAGTTCGTCGTACCAAATGGGCGAATTTCACAATGCAAGGGTCGTCCTTGTTGACTTAGAATCATGCATCATGTTATCATCATCAAGTACATTGATTACATAGGTGTCATGTAATCATCATCAAGAACAAATATATTGATTACATAGGTTTCATGTAATCATCATCAAGAACAATTATATCTATTACATAGGTGTCATGTAATCATCCTCACGAACAAGCAAATTGATTAAATGTGCCATCATTTAATTATCATTAAATATTTATCATCATGAATCATCAAATTGATCAGATGATATAATGTGCCATATCATGAATATTATTATACACCTTGTGGACGTATATATATGTATATGTATATGTCTGTTAATTATTCTACAATTCTAGCGTGATACCACTCAGCGGTTTCGCTGAGCGTGTAGTTTGTATATTTCGTTGACTACACGTAGGTAACAAGAGGACAATGACGGAACCACTCCCGGAGGGCATTGAGTCAGAGGAGATGCAAGGATGGCAGGCAAATGTTTGATCATCAAAGATTTTAAATGTGTCATGATTTAATTATTATTGTACTTCCGCATTACTCTGAAAATATTTTTAAATGGGTCGCGATCCAGAGTCTGTAAATTTGATATTTATAAGTAATTGTCATTTTCAAATGTCAAGCGAAATTTTTAATTAACTCTCGTTTCACCTTAATTCGTGTAATTCCGGGTTATACGGATTGGGGTGTTACGGTAGAACATTTCCGAAGACTTTTTATTTTATTGAGTCTAAGAACATATTGTAAGGATGACAAAAATTATCTTATCTCCAAAATTATTTGTATAAGGGTTCATATAAAAATTATATTTAATTTTGGAGTCAGTTGAAAAATCTTTTAACTGTTTAAAATACATTTATTGAGTCAGTTACAAAAGGTGTGTCAAACATTTATCAAAATATTTATTTTGATATTAGAAAATATTTTTGGTGAGTCATTTTCTAGGACTCATTTTCTACACAAAAAATTCTTTCAAATATTCAGATTTGAATTTGAATATATTTGAATCATTTGTGAGCCTTCTCACTTCACTTCATAGCCCCAAATCAACCATATCCTCCAAAACATGTTTCCAACTCGCACAGATGCCTTGGGGCTTTCATGTTTCAGAATTATCCGTTAGTGGATCTATTCCCTTGTTTGGACCGATCACACGAAACTTTTATCTTGTGCAGTATACCTACGGTGGATCGATCCCCCGATCTCAGCTCAATTTTTCTTCTTCATTCTGTAGTGTATTTGGATCCAACCAAAGCCCTGGATTGATCACCCGTGGATCGATCACATGGCCTGGATCAATCCTCTGAGCTGAAACCTGTCGAAATCATTCCATTTCTTTCCCCAATGGATATATTCTTTCAACCCTTATTTATACACCATTCCTTGGTGATTTTCTGAATGAATAAGCAGTCCAAATTATAATATTAGAGAACGTAAAAAGTCAAATGAGAAGAAGAATTTTGGATTGTGAGAGTATTAAATAATCAAATTTCGTGTCCGTCATTAATCACCCACACGTCACTCTCTCACCCACAACCGCCGGCCTGATTTCCAAGTTTAGCGGTCAATTCAACCACCGCAATATTAGAACCGTTCTTTTAGAGATCTCCAAATGGGCAATGCTAGAGGTACACCAACATGGGGTACTCCAAGTGTACACCAAGCCAACACAGACAGACACAGACACAAAATGTCTGTGCAACACAGACACTTTGTGTCTGTGTGTGTCTATGTTGGCTTTGGTGTACACTTGGGGTACCCATGTTGGTGTACCCCTGGCTTAATTCATCTCCAAATGCACCTTGCCAACCCTTTCCCTCCCGTATTCTCGTACCCTCGAGTTTGTTTTCTTTCGCCACGTCATCTTTCCTCTCCGAAAAATTCCTCCTTGATCTCCGCGCCAGTTAGTTCCGTGTCTGCACCGCCTCCTCGCGCAATTCCCCGAAGAAACCACCAGTGAAAACGCGGAATATTGTTCCTTGTTGGGTATAATATATTTCGGGTCGGATATTTGATTGCTATGATGCAAAGCTATGCGTCCCTTCTGCTGCGTTTCCACCGTTAACAGCACCAACCGTGATTCCTCGCTGTTGCCAGTGTCCCAGCCGCAGCCTCCGCCGTCTGCCGCCGCGGCCAGATCGTCGGAGTCGTTGACTTCCTCTGGAAATCAAAATCACAACCAAAATCACAATCACGTTCCTCATAACTACTTGCATCATAGCAATCGGATTCTGACCGAGCCTTCATCGGCTTTGAGGCTGGCGTCCGGCGGAATGGATGGTCAACTTCACCCGCAGCAAGTGAATATCAACGACATAGTGGGGGATGGCATTTCTGGAATCTTGTACAAGTGGGTGAACTACGGCAAGGGGTGGAGGCCGAGGTGGTTCGTGTTGCAGGATGGAGTTTTGTCTTACTACAAGATTCACGGGCCTGATAAGATCATCTTAAGTCCTGAAACTGAGAAGGGTTCAAAAGTCATAGGTGAGGAGTCATTGCGTGTGATATCCCGTTCAAACAGACCTTACAATGCTAATTCCTCTCAGGAAGGCCAATGCCCTGTAGGCGAAGTTCATCTCAAGGTTTAACTATTTTCATGTTCTTGTGGCTAATTGGCTATGATGCCTATGTTAATTGGCTGCGTGCATCCTCTCTTATTACATCATATTGGAATTAACTTGTCGTACCTTTAATTTTAGTTCACTTTTTGTGAAAATTCTAGTAGACAGTACATGCATATATAGTTCTACTATATTGTTGGGCAATTGTTTAGGTCAGCATACTATGTAGGATTCAGTAGCACAAGTACATATCTGTTTATTCCCACGAACTTAATATTGCTTAAATGGAGTAATGATGAGCGACATTTTAGTTTAAATGCAATTCTTTTTATGGCTTCCGGCATATTGTAATTGACTTTTTGTATGGACTTTGCCTTTAAGCTACAATAAGGAGTGATAATAAGAGCGTGTGAGCAATGAATTTGAACCAAGAAAAGGAGAATAACTGCATTATTGGCTAACATTGTTTAGATACTAACTCTCTTTGACATTAATGTGATTGTGGATTAGTTTTTTCTTGTGATACAAACTAGGTGAATTTCACATATGCCTATTTGGCAAGACTTGGTAGTTAATTATTTAAACCGTTTTTTTTAATTTAACATTACTCTTATTTTTCTTTAGTCAGGGTTCTTGCAACCCGGCGTGCATGGTGTAAAGTATGCACTGTTAGCACCTTCACAATCTGAGTAGTTTCTTATAGGTTTCGTCGATACGAGAGAGCAAGTCAGATGACAAAAGGTTTTCAATTTTCACGGGAACAAAGAGGCTACATCTGAGGGCTGAGACAAGAGAAGATAGAATAGCTTGGATAGAAGCACTTCAAGCTGTGAAGGATATGTTCCCAAGACTTTCTAACAGTGAGTTAATGGTTCCTTTGGAGAACATTTCTGTTTCAACAGAGAAGTTACGGAAGCGCCTGATGGAAGAGTGCTTGAGTGAAGCTGCCATCCAGGACAGTGAGCGGATCATGAGGGATGAATTTTCATTACTGCAGAATCGATTGCTGCTTTTTAAACAGAAGCATCGGCTACTCATTGACACACTTCGCCAATTAGAGGTACGGATTGTTACAATTAATACTAGCGCCATGCTCTTTTGGTTAAAATTGAAGGCTCTTCAAGTGATTACCCATTTTGATGCATCCCACATCTGACGTGTTAGGGATTTATGTTCAATATTTATGTTTGGGCTAAATGCTAAATCTCAACTATTGAGCTAACTGTTGTCGACTTGTTGAATAAAGGTTTGCACTTTTATCAGTCGGTATCAGTGCCTGGATACGAGTGTGTGTGGATGTGTGCTATCCTATTCTTTGCGGGTACAGGCAAACGATCTTGTTAGCACAACCCACTCATCCATGATCCATGCCGGGCATAGCGGTTAGTGATACATGGGTTTTATCAGTTTAGAATGGAGACCCTTATACAAGTTTGGAGGACCAAAGACGCATAGACATGTGAAGTGTGTCCTTGAAATTTTTACTAAAACACGTTATGCTAAACTTGCTTGGATTGGGGTTTCTTTGATTTGGTTACAACTTTTTTGGGTTTATGTGCGATATGCTCGCCATACTAGCCTATGCTAGTGATAAGAGGTTTGATAAGAACTTTTTTTTCCATCATCTCCGATGGAGCCAAAATTTCACCATTTTTTGGCTTTGGGGTGTGATGGAATAAATCAAAATGGATCTCTAAACTGTCTGCGCTTCCTTCTCTAATTAATGAAGTAACAGTTAGTCAAGCAATGCAACTTTCGACGTTGAGCCGGGGGTCTCTTTGGAAACAGCCTCTCTACTTTCGAGTAGGGGTAAGGTCTGTACGTACACACACCCTCCCCAGACCCTACTCTTGTGGGATTTAACTGGGTTGTTGTTGTTGTTGTTGTTGATTTATACGTTTGAAAAAAGCCTTGAAAAACACACTAAGAAAAATGCAGAGGGTACTCAATTGACAATTTTAGTCAAAGGCTTACTCTATGCAGTCTAAACATGATCAATATGTTGGCCAACAAAGACCTGAATTTCATGCTCCCTTCAAGAAAATGATGAAGTAAAATAAATGTTTTGTGAAAAATAATTGATACGAAATTGTTCGCTATGCAAAGAAAATATTCTTCTTTTATACATTGATTATCATGTTCAAAATTGTTCGTGATGGAAAGAAATTATAATTGTTATAGATTTTTAACTTTGTCCTATAAAATTTATGTTTTTACTAGTTTTACAGCACACAAGTAGTTTATGGTACTGGAATGATCTTATTTACTTAGTTGGCTAGTATCTATTTTTTTGAACAATGGTGCTGCATATTTAGCATACTTGTATGGTATCTGTGGGGATAATGGTGCTTTATGTGGGGTGCTAATGCTCTCTCTCTCCAGTGTTCATGGTACTAGTTGCAGCTGCATATGGGAATTCCCAATTCTCTCATAGGAAGTTTCTTGTGGATACTTGACTATAGTACACTCAGGCTTAGTCAAGTTGAAAATCCCTTTTAATGATTAGTGTGATTAAACTGTATTTTTAATTAAATAACACAAGATATCTTTTTTGTTACCCTCAACATTTCACAGGATCACACTAAATTCATTGCCCAATGAAGAAGAGGACTGCTTTTGTTCAAGAAGGATAGACAATTCATTCCTTTAACTTTTTTCCATTAGTCAGAATAAGCTGGTAGTTGCTGCTAACAGTTATACCTTTGTAGAATGAACTTTGACAGCTTGACTACGGTCTAAGGACACGATCATGGCCTTTACACTTAAGATGTCCGACATTATATGGGGATGTCTACTGTACACTTAAGTGTAAAGGTGCTTAAAAATTTTAGTAACCTTCCCATTGGTTAACCTGCATGACATTTGTTCCAGTTTTCCAAATCAAACTCTCAAGTCCTAAAGAACTTGATTCCTTTTTGGATTCTGCAGTGGGCAGTCTTCTCTTCTCCTATTTGGTTATTGTCTTTAATTAATGGAAGTTTACCTTGTAGCACTTTTCATCTACAGAAAGAAAGTTGCCTTTGATATTTTTTTTCTTGTTAATTAAGATTTTATGTCATTTAGACAGAAAAAGTTGATTTGGAAAA